GTAGATTTAGTTTAGAGTTCCATGAGGGAATCCCTCTGTTTTGTCTTGTAGATTAGGTGAGATGTTTTTACAGTTGTAATTTTCCATCTGGATTGATAAGCGTATTCTTTTATTTTTGTTGCCAAATTTTTTGGTGTCGAAGAGTTGTTGTCTCCCCTCCCCCATCTCCTTTATTTTTGGGTTTTGCGAGAGCGGCATAATGTACTTTTGTGGTTCTTTTAAGTTGATGACTCTTTTTTAACTGCAAAAATTTGTTGGGTGCCGGTATCGTTACCAGGTTATACAAGCACCGTCAGGGATTTAATTTGAGTGCCTCTGCACGATAGACCTCCACTGAAAATTGAAGGGTAACGACGATAAGTGATTGAGTTCAGAAGTTCTTTATATAAAATTATTGACTCTAGAGATATCGAAATATGAAGAAGACAAAATTGTTTCAAGCACTTACAGAACCATAAGAGCTCCTAGTTTCAAAAAGAGGATGGGTTATTCACATTTCATTTACACAATCTTTTTGTTGAGTTCGGTGCTTAGTTATGGACCTATTGTTGACATGTGGGACTTAGTCTGATATTCCTATCTTAGTAAATTTTTTTGGGCAAACGATAGCGTAAGTAGGTTAAATTGTTAGTTGCTATGAAGAGAGAAATCGGTTAGAATCAAACTTGTACCGCGGTGCATAAACATAATTGTTTTTCGTCATAATGATAAAGCCACGTTTGCCTCTCTTAATAATATAGTAGCATAAAAAAAAATATGGAGTTTAATTCGGTTAAGAATTGTATTCTAAATTGTAATACAAGTGCTTGTATGTGGAAAGCTTTTTTATTTTCCCTATTTTGTTTCTTAAATTTGATAATGGTGAATATTTTGGTTCCTCTCAATTGAAGACTGAAATATGACTTGGAAGAGAAAGAAAACCCGTACAAAAAGAGTAACACTGGCACTGCTGCCTGCAACCAAGAAAAGCAGCTGCTTCAAAAATTCTGGTTGGTGGGTGTTTTTGAAGAAGAAAGACGGTGAGTACTCAATCGCGGATGCTGAAAGCATCGTGGCTAAGGCTATCCGTGACGGTGCCATTGAGGCCTCGTTAGATCATGCAAATGGGTGGATGGTGTCCAAGGAAGCTGGAGACATTTACTCTACTAATGAGCTTCAGGCTGCCTTCAACTCCAGGATTGCCTTTTGTCTCAACATGCACAACGAAGCAGTTCGGGCACTGCGGAGAAAGAAAGTGCTGAAAGGAGGAGAGGCAACAACAGGAGCAAGAGCTTGCCAATCATATTGCAGAGGACGACGACGACGATGATTTTTAATGCAAAGTGTATTAATCTCAAAATTGTAACTGTTATCAGTTGTTATGTTAAATGCTTAATCCTACATTCATAGATCTCAACATTACCATCTGACGCATGCTAGCCCCAAATTCCAAATTACAAACTCCGAAATACACAAAGAGCATGCTTAGCGTTTATCACATTACAATTAGTTATTATCCCGTACAAGAATTTTATTATGCTCTCAAATATCTTATACCCCAATGATTTCGATGTCAACTGTTAGCCGTTGTATCTTTGACCAAGAATGTAACAGTTAAAAACTCCGTAAAATGCAAGCGACCCTTTATCACAGTAGTGGAGATGAATGTTGCTCTTGTACAACGATATGAGTTTAAATTTCGTCGGTTTCTAATCTAACAAATATGTCTTTTGACAAAAAAAAAAAATTGTAACATAATGAGAGTAGTTTAACCTATACTTAAACAACCATATATCCTTTTGATTTACGATTGATATGCTTTCAAGTACGAAAGTTGTACCACTAGAGCGTCTAGTGTGAATATAGAATTATAGAGTTGATAAGTTCAAACACTGAATTGTGAAATGTATTATCATGTGCAAGAATTGAGCAGTTGACTTTCAATCATTTAAGCACCAACTTAATAACTCCTAACCATCATTTCACTCAAACGACTTTCTGACATTTCAACTAAACAACTCTCATCGATACACGTCTTTTAATTTCTGAACGTTGGATCGAAATAGTTGAAGAAAAGCAAAGAACAAAAATTAATAGAAGGTGTATAAATAGCACCACCCTTGATTTATTATCTATTAATGTATACAACTCTCTTTGCTTTCCGTACAAACTCCTGACTTTCCGCACCCTTATCGTCTAAAAGAATGATAAAAACTCTTAATGTTTACGACTTCATATGATTGTCAAATTCTTATTAAACGATATTGTATGGGAGAGCCCTCTCTAGATCTCGCTAGCGTAGCGGTGCTTAATAAACTATATTACAAGTCGATGGATTCTCTCTGTCACAAGTGCTTGACGGTGCTACATCACATGGCAACTGTCATGAACATATTACTAAAATATAATCATACCAAAAATTCTTTTCCAAAATTACACATTCATTTGTTTTCTCTATAAAGAAAATAAAGTGGTTTCATTTGTAACGACGGATTCAGAAATTTTATTGTGGATAGGCCAAATGCTAAAAAAGAAGAAGTTAATAAGTTGTTTTTTACAACACATTTGCCTTTATTGGTTGGTGAACAAATCTTAGTGATAATCGCGCATGAGGGATTGAAGAAGGAAGTTGAGATAAATAAATTTGAGTGTAGTGAGTAAATTCTCATTAAATGGAGGATATAGCCGATGGTTTCGTGTAGAAAAGGAAAAAGCAATTGTCCAGCCTTGCCATACAATGCGTCCGGAATGTCCGCGTCTATCTGCATATGTGCAAAAGGGGTCATGTGTAATGCACATGAAGAAAGAAGAATGATGCCAATGTATGTATCATATAAGGTCAAGCCTCACGGAAGTAGCATGTGAAGTAATACGACCCTGACATATATAAATTCCAACCATACAAAAACACATTAAATATGTGCACATTCTATTTTCAAATAGCAACAACCTGCAACTTTGAAGAAGGAAACCCTTAATCAAAGGAACAATTGGATTTCTGCATTTTGATTTATTCACGGCTCTTCTGTTGGCCAAGAGCATGTGGAGTGGACGTGGGAATAATAATTGACTGAACAAGTCAGACTTTGCAGAGAGAGAGATAATTTAATTCATTATTTAATTAATACACCAAATTAATCATATGCGCTCAATCCGGCTGCAGAGTTCCCATGTGAGGTGCTTGCATGGGCAATGCATCACTGAGTCGATCTGTTCTCTTATTTATACTTTAAAATGCCCGATTAGTGTAAATACACTCCCAAATACGTACCAATTCCCATCTCTCTCTCCTCGATCTCTCTCTCTCTCTAATCAACGATGGCGAAGCTCTTTTTTCCATTAGCAATCTTTCTTGGAGTATACAGTCTCTCGACATATGTCACTGCATTCACAGCATCTGGCTGGACTAAAGGTCATGCCACATTCTATGGAGGAAGTGATGCCTCTGGAACTATGGGTACGTACATAGCTTTGTTTATTTCTGTTGTTTGATATTCATTCCAAATGCCGAAACAAATAGTTGTTTGTAAAAGAAAGTATGCGGAAATTGCTTCCCTTACTCACTTTTTGTAATGATTAATCGAACTCTTCACCTATCCTAATTCTAACGTGTTACGGGTTGTGCACTGCAGGGGGAGCTTGTGGATATGGCAACCTGTATTCCACCAGGTACGGGACTAGGACGGCGGCTTTAAGTACCGCCCTGTTTAACGACGGAGCTTCATGTGGACAATGCTATAAGATAATATGCGACTACACCACAGATTCTAGATGGTGCATAAAAGGAAGGTCCGTGACAATTACTGCAACAAACTTTTGTCCTCCCAATTTTGATCTTCCAAACAACAATGGAGGATGGTGCAACCCACCCCTTCAGCATTTCGACATGGCTCAGCCTGCCTGGGAAAAGATCGGAATTTACAGCGGTGGCATCATCCCCGTCCTGTTCCAAAGGTAACTTTAATTAGTCCGAAAACTAAACTTCAAACCTTGAATTAGTTCGAATTTAGATCATTAATTTCTGATCCGAAGTTGATATGTTATCGATAATGTGTTGATATCATTGTAACTTACATTATGTATCGACATGTTATAAACCATACCAATATAATATCTATGACAAAACCAATCAACATGTTATCGACACGTAGATTTTCAGCAACCTCAACGCATTCATCGTCTTTGCACAAAGAATTTCCGTATTGAACCCTTTGTGTACTGTAGTGTAATATATTAATGGGAATTGGATCATGTGTGTGCAGGGTACCATGCAAGAAGAAAGGCGGTGTGAGATTCACAATAAATGGGAGGAACTACTTTGAGCTTGTGCTGATCACCAATGTCGGAGGAGCTGGATCTATCACGTCTGCTTACATTAAAGGATCCCAAACTGGTTGGATGGCAATGTCCATGAATTGGGGAGCAAACTGGCAGTCCAACGCCTACCTCAACGGCCAATCTCTGTCGTTCAGAGTCACCACAACCGACGGCGAAACTCAACTGTTTAACGACATTGCTCCCGCCAACTGGGGATTTGGCCAAACGTTCACCAGCAACGTACAGTTCTCATAATTAAGCTGGTGGTGGTTTAATTAATTCAAGTGGCTGCTTTTACGGTTCTGGGTTAATTAACGGCAGAGGCGTGCTTATATTATTTTTCAAGAGGCAGCCCGCCACATTTTTTGGGTTTATCAAATTAAGTGATTATATGTTGTCATTTCTGATGCCCAGAAATCAAGTATAGGGCTCGATCCCAAAACAACATCTGTTTGTACCGTTTGAATAAGAAGCGCCGTGAAGATGCAGCTTCAACCATGTAGAAATATTTGGTGTAATAGTTTTAATCTTCTTCGAAATCATAATGCCCTATAATTCATGTTGTACTTCATTAGCATCGGTTATTAAACTGCATGATTTTTGGTCTAAAATGTACTTAATTAAGATTGAAGCTTATGGCACATGTACACTTTTACTGTGTAAAAGAAAGTATTTTAAAGATTTTTTTTTTTAAATTAGGGATAGTGATGTAAAGGTCATCTTTTTACAATATCATTACCCTCACGTACTTTTAAGTGGCAATTACAGATCTAGATAATGAATAATCCATTAACCTCAGTCGATCCACGTGAAGAAGAATACTTGGTTGATGAAGCAATTGCATGGATAACTACTTCAGCCAAAGACTTGTAGCTCACGTCCAAGCTATATGTGTCATGCAATATATCATTGATTATTACTATATATATCTGCATTTTTTTTTTTTGCGTAACCTCCCATACCATGATGTATGATTACCAACTTAATGACCGATTACGATGTCACCACTCAGCTCCCAATTAGGTCTTTGCCAATATTTCTTGTATCACAAGCCTTCTCGACCTGTTTATGGTGAGCAAGCACAAGTAAATATGTTCTTCAAGCTCCTCTAGCTGCTCCACAAAGCTATCCTCACTCGCATGAAATTCCCTCACCACCTTCTTTAAATATGTCACAGTTTGAAGATGATCCACCATTATTAGTACTAATTATGTTCCTCACACTGCTAACACACATTCTGGCGACAGCTTTCCTGTGCTCCACCTCGTCGTACAACCGCCTCACCATCCGGCTCATTGTATCGAAATCATTGATCAAAATATAAACCCCTTTCGCCGCCACGTCAAGTTGCTGCCCGTGGCTCTCGGGAAACCTAGTCTTCAACCACTCCGCTGCGGAGTCCATTTTTCTCGCGCACAAACCCAACGAGCAGGCTATGAGCGCCGGCGCCACCACGATTCCAATCATGCTGTGGATTGCAAACACAAGCAACGTGATCAAAAGCGCGGTATGTGACACCACCAGACCAACCCCTCCAACCTTTTTGCATATTCTGTTACGCTTTTGAGGCCCTTCGCACCTTTTTGTGCTTTAAAATCAGCCTATCGAATAACGCCACGTAGCTATCATGAATGTGACGGAACGGCCCAGGGCTGATTATCGACAACGGATTTTTAGCTCGGGCAAATGTGCCAAGCTCCCCGAAAATTTCCAGGCATTGTTCATCATCAGTAATGTCGATATTATCATTATAAAGTAGGTGTACTCTTTGGCTGAGTTTTAATACGAGCTTCTTCGTGTGTCGGTTTTCGGCACGGGTTTGGTGGATGCTATGCAGGAGCACGTCACATATGTGGCAGGCGTCTAAGCTGGCTTCGAAGTAGTCGGTGAGAAGGTGGTGGAGATTTAAGCCCTCCTCATCGATGATGTTTTTAAGGGTTTCTTGCCGTGGTTCGAGTAAATATTCGGAGCGGTCCAACACCATATTAGACAGAAGAGACGACCTAGACGAAGGAAGCCGGCTAGTGCTAGTGCTAGTGCTTGGCAGCTGTTCGTGAACCCTATCCCACATTTCTACGTACGACTTTGTTCTGAAAACTTCCATGTATTCTTCGTTCACGCTTGACTTGCTGGAGAAGCCATTGCCGCCGACATTGTCTTTTTCTCTTCCTGAAATTAATATACCAATCAATTAAAGCAATATCTATTGATTCTTCAAAAACAACATAATAATTTTTTTGAAATTGTGAAATAATCAACTAGTAATCATAAGTTAAGGAAATTAACATGCATAGAAATATAGAAATCGGAACTCACTTGGCTTGGAGAACGCAGATCTCAACTTGGTTCGTAGGGTTTTCCTCATCTTAGACATGATCATCAAAATAAAATAATAGGGATATAAATATATATTTCGATCGACGGAAGATGTTTAAATGGAGCTGCTAACTTGTTCTCTCTCTAAAATCGAAGGACAGTCGAAGCGGTTTAAAAAGAAAGAAGATATGGAGAAAGTTGGCATATAGACACGCAGAGAGAGAGAGAGAGAGAGAGAGAGAGAGAGAGAGAGAGCAAGAGAGACGACACCCAGTTGGCAGTTATAGGCTTAAGTTTTGTGGCTTTGGTCACACGTCAGAGTACCTCACACGTTTTGCTCTTTCTCTCTACGTGTATGGCTTTCAAGCTATATATATTATATTGAACAAACGATATTATTTACTTTGACGTGTAAAATATATAAACTTATTCATATAAATACATCTTATCCTCCTATATCTTCTATGTGTATTTATTCATCTATCTCGTCAATAAATATCGTACTAAAAACCTTTGTATATAGCACTATAAAGAAGGAAAGAAACCCTTTATTAAAATGAATGGTTGGTGTGAAAATTGTCCAATAATGATTTGATTAGTTGCTATAATTTACGTGTTTTATTTGAAGATTTTGTATCGTTGTGCCATAAAAGGACATCACTAATAGGTAAGATGTATTTATATGAATAAATAAGTTCACAAAAATGTTACTGAATATCGCAATAATGTAGCCATTCAGAAATGTTCAAACAACAATCTATGATAAGCATGATCAAATGGATAATTTAGTACTACACGCCGTGACTAAATGAAGCAACATGCATTTGATGGCTCAAAAGATAAGCATTAGTTTTGTACTCGGATGGGCCCTTGCAATCAAGAATTTCTCCGTTTTGCATAAGTATGAACATGCGGGCTCCCCACATTTTCTACATGGAAGCTCAACTGGGTCATCTTTAGCGCCATTCTTGATTACAGACAATCTTGAATGTAAAAATTTGCATTGCATACACCCTTCCTTTTCGTCACTCTCGTTATGTCACATGAAACGAGGGGAGTATGCCTCCTGTGGCAAGTTATTTTCATTTTTGTAGTTAAAATATACTAAAACTAAATATTTTGTCCCCGTTTTCTTATTAACGTATTTCTTTGTCATTTTTATTTTATACATAAAGTAGTGGGGATTGGTAAGTGGAATATAGACGAATAAAAGGTTAAATGTTCTTAAGAATTGCAAGTCTCTTACTATATTGAGAAACAAGCTGTAGTGCAACACGTTATACCGGCCAACAAAATAAAAGAATAGTCACTTGTTCTGAATTAAATGTTTAAGTCAAGGAAGAAATACAAGAAGGGCGGAGGAATTGCTCCTACATGTACGCGGCAATTTAACGATAGCACAATGAATCTTTTGACCCAACCGTGACTAATTCAAATAACATAAACTTGCCTTTGATATGGATTAAATCCCATATCCATGACACATACTTATTGACTTGGCTTATATAAAAGAAATTTATTTCAGCACACACTTTTATTGCTTTAGCGACTAGGATAATAAAACCCAAATTATTAACTATACGAAAGAGCGCAATAGAAAACAATCGTCTGAGTAGACCCTAACACTCAGAAGCTCTAAAATTTGGAGATATTTGAGCATTAGCATTAGGGTCAGCAGCAATGTCAATGACAAATCGGTACCTAACGTCATTCTTTGCAACGCGGTCCAATGCCTCGTTGATTTTGTCCGGCGTTGTAAGCTCAATGTCGCATGTAATCTTGTGCTTCCCGCATAAATCCATCATCTCCTTTATCTCAGTTATTCCTCCTATCATGCTCTCTTCCCTGTATTACGTGCACGTCAATCCATCAATTACAATGCCATTGTATGCATATGTTCGTTATTTTCTACAAAAATTAGAAATTAATTCATCGTGTTTTTTTAATGCTTACCAAATATAAGAGGAAATGAAGGCAATTCAAATGGTTGATCCGGTGCACTGAAGTCGAGTGTCCTCTTCCCTTTCTGCAGTCGTCGTCATCATCATCGTCATTAACTTTAATTAATCCTGAATTAATTTTTTCTAAAAGTAAAATAGAGAAGAACAACACAAATTGGAATAAAACCTGCAATTGTTGAGGATCAGTACTGACGAGGAAGTCGTCGGCACCCAAATGCTCTTTGGCCGGAGAGGTGCTGATGACAGTTACGTGGTGACCAAAGGCTTTCCCAAACTTCACCGCCACGTGTCCCAGACCCCCGAGCCCAACCACCCCGATCTTCTTCCCCGTTGGTTTGTGTAGGTTGTGGTCTTTCATGGGGGTGAACACCGTCGCCCCCGCACACAATAGCGGCGCTGCTGCATCTAACGGTAGGTTCTGTGGTATGTGTACCACGTACCTTCATTGCAATACATGTTCACATTACTTAATTGTTAATCACATGACCAACTCTTTTTATCTATGTTAATTAATCAATGCCTTATAGTTAAACATATATTTAATTTGCTCTGCTGAGCTGGCAATGCTAGAGACCAAATAATTAAGCACGCGGAACAAAATAAGGTAAAAGTTTAGGTTTGAGCTATATTTTCCATTATTGCCAATTAGTTTTAAGAATTATTTTAGTATTCAAAATAGTTTGCGCAAGTGAAGTTGGAAGACCACATGTGCTTATACAGATAAAATTATTCACATGTGAGTTCTATCACACTTTGCCCAACACCCTCACAGACCTTATTGCAAAGTCAGATGCCCAGCTCTATCTACAACTTTTACAAAAGGGATAACCACGAAGCGCATCAAAACTCTGACAAAGAGGAAGGGAGTGTTTACTTCTATCTAACTTGGTGAAGCACACCCCAACTTTTGAAGGTAGTAGGTTCGGAAAGAGAGATAAAAAGACAAGATAATTAAACTTTGGTGATTAATAAGCCTACCGAGTTTATCAGTTAGTTACCTGTGATCTGCGACCAACATCTTGGAGTAGCCACCGTAGGTGATACTGCCGTCCCAGAATATGCCATTGTATGTAAACTGGAGCTGGTCGCAGTAGTTCTCTTGGGAGGATTTGCAGAACTCGCACTCCAAACATGTTGCCGCCAAACACCCAACCCCAACTCTGTCTCCTTCCTTGAACTCCTTCACGTTGCTCCCAGCTTTCGTGATCAGCCCTGTAATCTCATGCCTACATAGAGTACCACCATACACACATTATCACATTAACATGTCTTACTCATGTAACGATGATGTCACTTATATAACAGCATCTGAAATCAATCGCCACCACACAGTCAGCATTCCCGCATAATGAAGTAAGTTACTCTCGTCTCAAACAAACCGACGTGAGAGAGAGAGAGAGAGAGAGAGAGAGATGAATTATTAATTACCCGGGAACTACGGGATACATGGTCATGCCCCAGTCATTCTTAGCAAAGTGGAGATCAGTGTGGCATATCCCACAGTACAAGATCTTTATGGTCACATCATTGATCCCATTTTCTCTGTATTTGTATAGCATTTTGAAGATTAGTTGAGCAACAATCGATTAAAGACTTACAATTAAAGAAGAAAATGAAAGTTATATAATTGTAATATGCATGTATAAATATGTGTGTGTATATGATGTACCTTCGTTTGAAGACGAAAGGAGTAACCTCGCCGAGGAATCGTGAGCTGCCCACCCAGAAACTGTCTGCTTGTGATTTGGAGTTGTCAGAGCCATGTTAGATCCGGTCTTGGGATGCACAAAACTCACTCGGAACAACTCAATATGTATAACACGTATGGGGGCAAAGAACCAGGCATGTTGACATATAAATAACAGTTTTAAGCGACCATGTGACTCTTGTAGATAATTCATCATGTGTGAATAACACCTAAAGTTATAAACAATGAGCATAGTACTTTATAGGACCTGCAGGTGCTATGTAATTTCGTACTTGACTAGTTGACCTGACTCAACTTGGTTCGTAGGGTTTTCCTAATCTTAGACACGATTATGTAAATACATAATATGTATATATGATCATTCTTCGGAAGATGTTTAACGGGGCTGCTAACTTGTTCACTCTCTCAAATTGCAGTAGAGTCCAAGCGGTTTAAAAAGAAAGAAGATATGGATAAAGTTGAGAGATTTTTCAATGTGACAGTCACACGAGGTGGTACATCAAGTGTAAATGGTGGGTTATGTGTGTTAAAAGGTTAATAATTAAAAATTAAAATTTTTCACCACTTGCATAAAAATACGTGGTGTACTATCCGTATTTCCATCCCAACTAAAATTTTTTCGATAAAGTTGGCGTGTATATATATGCAGAGAGAGAGAGAGAGAGAGAGAGAGAGAGAGAGAGAGAGATGTGGTCGACACCCAGTCGGCATTTATAGGCTTATAGCACCACCTGGTTTGTGGCTCTGGTCACACGCCAGATTCTCCTCACACGTTTTGCTCGCTCTGCACGTGTAAGGCTTTCAAGCTCAGTTATAATGAATCTAGAGAGAACGTCCCATGTTTTTTTTAATTCGGATCTGTCTGATCAGATAGAGAAAACCAAACCAATTATTATTTGCCAAATTCAAGCAAAACATATAAAATTATGAATAATATTAAAGAAATTAAACTTTTTAAATCAAATTAACAAAACAAATGATGTGGCTATAAATAATTAGATTATAACTTAAGTGTTGATTAGCATGCTTGTTTCTTATTGGTGAAACCTCATTTAGTTTGCAAATTTGATTTAAAAGTTTGGTCTCCCATATCATTTTCCTAACAATATTGCAGCAGATAACTCGACTGCCAAATTTCATGCTACTACTGCTCAATTAGTTTCGTTTCTAAATATCTAGCTCCAAGTTCCTCATTTCATGATCATACGTACGCTATAAATTAAAAATATAAGATTAATTCTTCTTTTCCTTTGTCAACTTCTTTATTTTTCTCTCTTTTATTGAGTTCCTAATTTTATGTACCGTGCTTTAAATTTGCACTAAACATGAATTTGAAGATTTAACTTTTGTAATATAGCACTATTAGTGGAAGACGAATTGATTTGGTTCGAAAAATCTCCTGATTGATTGTTTATATGTCATTGAGAATAGTCATAATTTATAAAGTTGGTGCAAAACACTATTTTTCTATTTGGTTGGGTTTAAATTTTCGGCAAATTTTTTATCACATAAATGCATCTTATCCTTCTACATGTACTTATTCATCTATCTCGCCCATGAACATCGTCAAAAATCGTTATATATAGCACTATGAAGAAGGGAAAAATAACCTTTTGATAAATTATTTAAAATGGAATGATTAATGTAAAAATTGTCTAATGATTGATTAGTTACTATATAATACGTGTTTTATTTGAAGATTTTGAATCGTTGTGCCATAAAAGGAGGTAAGGATCGGTCATAAAGATGTTACTGAGTATCGCAAAAGTGTAGCCATGCAGAAATGTTCAAACAAACAATCTAAAGCATGGTCACCACACGCACGTGACTAAGCCCTGGTTTGGTATTGAGGTGATTATGAAAAAAACTGGTATAAAAAAAAGCTTCCATATGTTTGGTAAATATTCAGCTTCAGTTTTTTTTTCACAATTTTGGGTGAAAAAAAGCCAAAAACAAGAAGTTGCAAAACCTAGCTTTGAAAAACCGATTTTTTTTCACATATATTTTACATAAAAGTTTATCAAACATTATAATACTGTTTTTTTTTTCAAAAGCATTTTTACAAAAAAAATTTACTAAACACTATGTTGCTTTATTTCAAAGTTACTTATTTTTACAGCACAGTAGAAACATTTTTTTTTTCAAAGTACAGCAATACCAAACAAGTCATAAATGAAGCAACACGCATTTGATGGCTCAAAAGATGAACATTAGTTTTGTGCTCGATTGGGCCTTTGCAATCAAGAAGTCCAACTGACCCATTTTTCAACGTCCTTCTTGATCAGAGACGACCTTAAATGTAAAGGAAAATTAATGAAAATGACTTGAAAACTTTGAGTTTTAATGATAAGGACAAAATAAAGGGTAAAGTGAATAGTACAAGGATTAACTTTTTAGTGTAAAAATGTGGTTTTTCATTAAAGTGAACAGTACCGAGAGCTTTTCGTTAAAGTATTCTAAATGTAAAGGATTGCATACGCCCCTCCTTTTTGTCACTCTCGTTATCAGTAGTGTATAACGAGGGAGTATGCGTCATGCGGCAAGTTATTTTCATTTTCCTTAGAGCTAAAATATTCTTCAACATTTTGGTTAAATATTTTCCCGTCTACTTATTAACGTATTTGTTTGCCGCTTTTATTTCATATATAAAATAGTGGGGATTGGTAGGGCAAAAATAGACGAATAAAAGGATAAATGCTTTTAAAAATTTTAACTGCAGGTCTCTTACTATTTTGTGCAAAACGTTAGACCGGCCAACAAAAGAAAAGATCAGTCACTTGTTCTTAATTAAATGTGTGATTAAAGAAAGAAATATAAAAAGAAGGCTATTTAGTACAACTGTCTAATGTTATTCTTCTTTCCTTGTAAATGAGAAATTTTAAGTTGATTCTCGTTAAAGATGAAGTCGAACCACATTAGTGTTAACTAGCATTTTGTGAGGTTAAACTCTCTTTCTTTCTCTCAATGTAAATAATATCATTTGTTTATAAAAAAAATAATATAAGGAGAAGGTCAGAGGAATTACTCCAACATGTTGTACGCGACAATTTATTATTTAACAACAGGACAATGAGTCCTTGACACAACCGTGCTCCGAGAGTTTCTCCACAACTTCTTGAGAGTTTCTCCACAACTTCTTGAGAGTTTCTCCACAACTTCTTGAGTCTTGACCCAACTTTTAAAACAAAAAAAAGACTCAACCAATTGACTAATTCAAAGAACATAAACTTGGCTTTGAATTTAACTCTCATGTCCTATACTTATAGACTTGGCTTATAAAAAAAAAAATTTATTTCCGAACACATTTTTATCGCTTTATTGACTTGGGATAATAAAACCTAAGAAATAAAGTGATGATTAACTATACGAGAGAGCACAATAGGAAACAATAGTCGGAGTAGACCCCAACACTCAAAAGCTCTAAAGTTTGGAAGGCATTCGAGCCTTAGCATCAGCAGCAGCAATGTCAATGACAAATCGGTACCTAACATCATTCTTTGCAACGCGGTCCAACGCCTCGTTGATTTTGTCCGGCGTTGTAAGCTCAATGTCGCACGTTATGTTGTGCTTCCCGCATAAATTCATCATCTCCCTTGTCTCACTAATTCCTCCTATCACACTTCCCTTCACTGCTCTCTTCCCTGTGTTACGTGCACGTCAATCCATTAATTACAGTGCCATTGCATGCATATATTCATTATTTTCTACAAAAATTGCAAATTAATAATCGTGTTTTGTTTAGTACGTACCAAATATCAGAGGAAATGAAGGCAATTCAAATGGCTGGTCCGGTGCACCCACAACCACCATAGTTCCATTCACTTTGAGCAGTTCTAAGATGGACCCAAGCGAGTGCTTAGCGGACACTGTATTTAATATGAAGTCGAGTGTCCTCTTCCCTTTCTGCAATCATCATCATTAACTTTAATTAATCCTTAATTAATTTATTCTAAAGGTTTACATAGAGAATAACAAAAAACAACACAAATTGAAGTAAAACCTGCAGTTGTTGAGGATCAGTGCTGACAAGGAAGTCGTCGGCACCCAAATGCTCTTTAGCCTCTTTCTCTTTGGCCGGAGAGGTGCTGATGACAGTGACATGGTGACCAAAGGCTTTCCCAAACTTCACTGCTACGTGTCCCAGACCTCCGAGGCCAACCACCCCGATCTTCTTCCCCGTTGTTTTGTGGAGCTTGTGGTCTTTCATGGGGGTGAACACCGTCACCCCCGCGCACAATAGCGGCGCTGTTGCATCCAACGGCAGATTCTCTGGTATGTGTACCACGTACCTTCATTGTAATACGTTCACGTTACTTAATCACATCACCAACTATTTTTATATATGCTAATTAATCATTGACTTATAGTTAAAACAGATTTAATTTGCTCTGCTTAGCTGGCGATGCTAGAGACCAAATTATTAAGCACGCTGAAAAAAATAAGTTAGAAGTTTAGGATTTGAGCTATTTTCCATCGGCAACTGCCAATTAGTTTAAGGGTTTATTCTGGTATTCAAGATGGTCTGCGCAAGTAAAGTCGAAGGGCCACATATGATCATCCAGATAAAATTATTCACATATATTAGAGTCTCGTGTCGATAAGTTAAAGAAACTTTGCATGAATTTATAACGATTCTCTGTTACGCTTTGCCTACACCCCAAAAACCTTATCGCAAAGTCAGATGCCCAGCTTTTCAATCTACTACTTTTGCAAAAAGGACAACCAGAAAGCGCCTCAAAACTCTGACAAAGAGGATCGGGGTGTTTATTTCTATCTAACTTGGTGAAGCACACCCCATCTTTTGAAGGTAGTAGGTTCGGAAATAGAGATAAAAACAGACAAGATAATTAATAAACTAAGGTGATTAATAAGCCTACCGAGTTTTTAAGAACATCAGTTAGTTACCTGTGATCTGCGACCAACATCTTGGAGTAGCCACCGTAGGTGATACTGCCGTCCCAGAAGATGCCGTTGTATGTAAACTGGAGCTGGTCGCAGTAGTTCTCTTGGGAGGATTTGCAGAACTCACACTCCAAACATGTCGCCGCCAAACACCCAACCCCGACTCTGTCTCCTTCCTTGAACTCCTTCACGTTGCTCCCAACTTTCGTGATCAGCCCTGTAATCTCATGCCTATATGTATAGTACCACCATACACAGAGTGTCATTAACATGTCTATTAACGACGATGTAAGGATGCTGTCGCAATAGTTCTCTTGAGAGAGATATGTATTATTAGTTACCCGGGAACTACGGGATACATGGTCATGCCCCAGTCATTCTTAGCAAAGTGGAGATCAGTGTGGCATATCCCACAGTACAAGACCTTTATGGTCACATCGTTGATCCCATTTTCTCTGTATTTGTATAGCATTTTGAAGATTAGTTGAACAACAATCGAATTAAAGAAGAAAATGAAAGTTATATAATTGTAATTATTATGCATATGTGTATATATATATGTACCTTCGTTTGAAGACGAAAGGAGTAATCTTGCCGGAGGGATCGTGAGCTGCCCATCCAGAAACTGTCTGTGTGTGATTTGGAGTCGTCTGAGCCATGACTAGCTATTAGAGTCAGATTGGCCTTTGGTCTTGGGATGCAGAAACTCACTCGGCACAACTCAATATATATAACAGTCCCACGCGACCCATGATCATGAGTCGCATGACTCTTGTAAATAATTCATCATTTGTTAATAACACAAAGTTATAGGAAATGACATCTGCAGCTGCAGGTGCTGTATCATTTCCTACTTGACTAGTTGACTTGACTCAACGGCTTCCCACTCTCTAAAAAGATTGACTATTAATACGCGGTTGGTGACAACAATATCCTAGTGCGAGCAACCTAACTTTTTTTTGTTTGGTCTAACTTTTCAATGTGAATTGAGCTTATTTTTCACAACCATGACGTGTTTTGTTTTTTATATCATTGAAGATGCTTGTGTTTTTTGTTTTTATTTAGCATTCGTGTTTTTATTTAAAAAATGTAATTTTTGTTTAATTTTGTATATGTTATAAAATTAATTATTTCAAAGAGAGTCGGGACATGACCGGCTAGAGAAGAGATCGACACTACACTACGTAGTTACTAATTGGGCAGGTGAATCTTCGTTGAATGCGCGATCGACACTACGACACTACACTACGTAGTTAATTTTGGAGATCCCTGGAGGACACGAGTCTAAACGCTATGTTGAATGCGCGATCGACATTACACTATGTAGTTACTAGCCGGGCAGGTGAATCTTCGTCAGGTTATTAAATTGAATATTGAATAGTTTTTTGAGCTAGATTTGTAAAATTATACATCAAGGCCCGTAACATTTGGTGGAATTTAGTATGTTAAAGCCCATATTTAGAAAAGTATGATGGCAAATAAGCCCAATAAATCCCAGATCAACGTTCCTTTATTTCATTTTTCATTTATCTTTTTTGTTTTTTTCTTGTCTGTATATTTGTTGTTATTGACAAGCTGGACAGATTATAAATTTGAAAGAGAAACCAACTCCAATAATATAAATAGTAATCAACATGATTAGACAGAAATTGAAATAAATTGCAATATTAGGGAACAAACCATTTATCCTTTTACCAAAAGGTATTTTTGATTTTTCTTTTTGATTTTTTTTTTATTTCTATAAAAAACCAAGAAGAAGAAAAAGTGGTCTCACAAATTTAAATAGGTTAAGTAAGAATTTAACTAATATGTAAGTTTAATGATATTTATCTTTTTGTTACAAGTAAGATATTTTAAATTTAAAACTCATAAATAGAGAATTCGTAACTAATATATTTTCCTGCGTCATCAATGTAAACATATTGTTGTATAATTTTTTTTTTTTTAAATTTCATAACCTAACCTAAAATGAGAATAACTCACCACCTACCCTAAAAAGAGAATAAAATCGTTGCATCCAGAATTGATTAAGACAATGTGCTTCCTTTACAATAAAATTTGAATCTTATCTCCATAAATTAGAGGAAAATAAAAATGGTTTCCTCACCTTAAGGCCTCGTTTGGCAGCTCGGACTGTACTGACTATTTCTGTCGGATAGGATAAATAGTCATTGGATAGTACTGGCTAAATTAATCGGGCGTTTAGTGCAGTATCGGATTAATGATCGTATTATTTATACTGTGTTTGGTATTATACCGGATAAGAGAAATCAAATTTAAAATAAAATTAAAAAAATTGAAATCATCTTTTTTTTTCCGCAAATCTCTCTGCACCCCCCAAACTCCCTCCCTCTCTCTCAGTCGTAGATCTCTCTGCACACCCCCCCCCCCAAACCCAGTTTGATGATTACTGGAAAAGAAAAAGAATAGAAAAAAACAAAGTTGTCAAATGCAGGAAGAACCCAGCAGCCACAAAGTTGTCCCAAATCTCTCCGTCCCACCCCCAAATCGCCCAAATCCATCAACAAAATCAGGGAACAATTAAGCTAAAAACTCATAAAACATCTCCAGTCCTATAATTCTCTACAATTCCTAGAGAAACCCAATTCGAAAAGTTAGCGTTTTGCAGCTCGAGTTCTGAGAATTCTGCAGAAAGAAAGAGTTGGGTTGCTGGGAGTGGCGGAGGAGATGTGGAGGTTCGGGGGTCGGTGTTATTGGGGAAGGAAGGAGCGGCGGAGCAATGGGGGGACGAAGGAGGGGGACGAAGTGAGCCAGGAGAGTGCTGCGAGAGAGAGGGGGACGAAGTGAGCGAGAGAGATGACCCGACTAAATTATACGGAGGTTTTGGTTGGAATAAAAAAGCGGGTGGGAGGAGTATAAAATGAGTGGGGCCGGATTAAATAATCCAGTGCTTATTTAATACGAAGTTCACCAAACATCTGTTTCGTACTATTAATACTATCCGGTGGTCTTATACGGCGTGCCAAACAAGGCCTAAAAGGTTTAGGAGAAGTCGACACAATCCAAATCAAATACCGCCGCTGATACCAAAATCACAGAGCAGAGGTTAAAACAGTAATTGTCGATTCAGAAAGAAGGACGGATATAAAAACGTAATAGAATAAACCGAAAGGGGGTTTTCAGTAATTGAGAGTGGTATCATAAGAAAACCTGTTAGATTTAGCTTTGTAGGCTCCAGTTTCCTTCGAGTTCTGAGAGAGAGAAAGCAGAGAGGAGAGAGAGAGAGGGAGGAGCACGGCGGAGAGTCACGCCGTTGGTTCTGAGTGTCGACGGTTGCTTGTGATTTGCACGTGCAAGATCCGTTTTAGCCTATCGAAATCCTGCATTCCGAAATTTCTAATTTCTTGAACCCAAAAACAATTCCTAAATCCTCTCCTTGAGTCTTTGCCAATCATCTTTTGTGAACTGATTAATTAATCAATTGTTTTTGTTTTGTTGTCTGATTAATTTATTGATTCCTTGTAAACTGATTAGTTTATATCCGTGCTCATAAATTGATCGGAGTTTAGTTTTTACTGCTGCAAACCCTAATTTGGAATGGCCATGGCTGCTGATTCTTCTGTCAATCACCACTCTCCGCGTGGCCCTGAATTTTCCACCGATGGTGGCGGCGGCGTTGTCGATAAGAGAAGTAGTTTACCCTCTCCGTGGGCGAAAGTTGTCCGAGGAGTTGAACTAGAGTCCGTCCAATCTCCGCCGTCCTTATCCTCATCGTTGTCCTCATTGGGCAACTTGGCAGTGGAGCAAACCCCTTTTTCAGATTGCTCTCAATCCTCCAAAGCTGCTCGTTCTTCGCCGCCTCCGCATACGCCGGATGGTTTTTCAGCTGCTGACAGTCCCAATGGCCATAACAGCAATGCCGGTCGGCCAAAGAAGCCGGCTTGGAACAAGCCCTCCAACAGCGTAGTTGAGGTTAGTCCTGTAACTGTAATGGATGCTTCTTCTTGGCCTGCTTTATCCGAGTCGGCTAGGGCTTCACCTAAATTACCAGCTGATCCCTCTCCAAAGAATGTCTCCGAAACAATTGTCAACCAAGAATCAGTCCCTGTTTCCCAGGTTTGTTCACTATCACCTTCGTTTTTCCTTTTTTTATTTGTTTTGCTGCTGAAAAATATTAAGAAAAGGGAAAGAATGAATTGTTTAAATTTTGGGTAACCATTAATCAATTACTTACCTAATTAATCCAAACAGTTGTGCGGATTTTTGTTTCGTCAGGTGCCAAAAATTGATGAAATAACTTAGATTCAGAAAGCTACTAACACATTATCTTGCATTTTCTCTCAAACCAGTGTAAAAGTTATCATATTTTCCTGAGTGGGATATTATTCTAACTTTTTAAGTACTGATAGTCATTCTATATGCACGATTGATCTTGTGTGTGGTTGATAGGGACCTGTTATAGCACATTCACCCAACTCCAAAAGACATCCTGCTAATAGTGCAAATCAGAATTCCACATCGAATCATGCACAAGCTCGGCAAAGATCAATTAAGCGTGGTGGCGGTGGCAACAATGGGGGTGGGCATGCACATAGTGGTTTCGGACACCCTGTCACCCCGCCACCACCACCACCATTCCCTGTTTTCCCTATTCTTCCTAATGGGTATGGTAATCTGGTACCAGCAATACCAGATCCTTCTCCACGAGATCCTTCATTCCGGGGCAGCAATTGGGATGCTAGACCAGTTGGTGGCTTTGTGCCGCAACCACACCCAGTAAACGACCATCGGAATACTCGTAGGGGAAATTTTGGACCGCGCCCACGTGGAGATGGTCACTACCACAATAATCATGGAGGCAAACGTGACCAGGATCGTGGAAACTATATGAATCCCAGGGATGTCCATATGCATCAGCATAGAGCCCCTCCAATGGCTCTGGTAAGGCCATTACCACCAAATAATGCTGCATTCCCGCCCCAGCCTGCAAGACCCTTTGCAAACCCCATGGGTTTTCCTGGTGAGTATACTATTTTAATACAGTTTTATTATTTTTTATTTTATTTTTTATATGTTTGGAAGTATAACTTATGTCTCTGTTCTTTCCAGAGTTTGTGTATATCCCTGCATTGCCCTTGGAGCCCATTCGAGGCATGCCACCGTTCATTTCTCAACCACCACATCCTGCAATGTTTTATCCTGTTGCAGAATCTCCTCTACCTTCATTGATAATCAACCAAATAGATTATTACTTCAGGTACATTTAATTCCCATCCTTCATTGATTCACAATTTGTTAGCTGTATGAACAAATTCCTCAGTATCTTGAGAATTAACTGCCCAAGTTGTTTTCTTTGTTACTACAGTGATGCTAATTTAATAAAAGACGACTTTCTACGGTCCAACATGGATGCTCAGGGTTGGATTCCTATATCTCTAATAGCAAGCTTTCCTCGGGTATGTTATATATGTTGTTATTTATGTTTTTTATTTTTGGTAACTTGGGTATGTTATTTATGATTGATTAAGCACATTTTGCTCTCTTTGGGACATATATTATCGCAATAGTTCTCTATGTATAACATGATGAAACATTTAAATTTTCAAAAGACGTTTTAGTCTATAAAGTTAAAAACTGACTTCTCGTTGTGCGACAATGATTAATCATTTGTAATATGTTCATGATATGTTACACATGATTTCAGAATAAAAGCTTCGCCAAGTTAGGTATTATAACAAACATTACACAAATTGCATAACATTTAGCTTTTCTGTTCATTGCCTTCCCTCTTGTGAAGTTTACATTCAGA